GAGGATTTCACCGAAAACGTTGATTAAAGTCACACAAATATAAATTTACAGTTTTCATGGACTCTTCAGCGTTGGAATTTACCAAGCTTTGGCGGCCATTTTCTCGCTAATTTTACCTCTTAAATCAGGTGACCCCCGCCTCCTTCAATCCAAAATATCTCCTCTTCTATTGAAGATGGATGGGTAATTTTTTCATTGAAAGCAAGACAAATGAACAAGCTTTAAGATGATACCAATAACTCAACATGTCCAAAAATTGACGAGAGCCTGATTCCGCCACGCTGCCTCACATTTGTTAGTAAAAGACGAGCACACCACACCAGAGTACCCACCAACCACCAACAAGGGAGCTCTCGTGGTCTAGGGGTTAAGGTGTCCTCCTCTCATTCAATTGGTCCCGGGTTCGAATCTGGTTAGCGACGGAAAATTTCCTCTCCAAAATTGTCTCCTTACACCTCATTTCCTGCTCTCTAACAATGTTCTGTCGTCTGCTTGCGTCTCCACATTCTTCCCGCACCCCTTCACCTCCTTTGCCCCCTCCTCTGGGTTCCTGGTTCTTTCTTCAGCCTTTCCACTGCTACTCATTGGCTCCTTCTTACTGCTGTCTTTCCCCCACCCCCCTGATCTTATTGTAGGTAAGATCTAACGAAAAATCTCGGAGGCCCATGTACAATTCGTGTACGGGGAAGATCCAGTGGTGGTCCAAAACCAATGAAAGTAGGCTCTGGCCGCCACCCGCGCAGCGTTCTAGTCCTCTGCGTTCATATGACCTTAATATTATGCAGTTGCGAGCGCCGTAAAACACTTCACCCACAAGTAGAGAGAAAAAGACGAGCATGGCGCCAACGTGCAACATTAACCGGAGATGACTAGTGAGCATTAACATAGTATGATTGTCTGTGTGTGTTTCAGATGAAGCTGGAACTTGAGAGGAAAAACCTCACAGTGAGCACGTGTGAAGTGCTGTCCTTTCGGTATGTACAGGGATTGGAATAACATTGTGACTGTGTTACGACTGTATTGTGGCTGTATTGTGGCTATATAGTCGCTGTACTGTGGCTGTATTGTGACTATATAGTCGCTGTACTGTGGCTGTATTGTGAATATAATGTAAATGTATTGTGGCTGTATTGTGGCTATAATGTAAATGTATTGTGGCTGTATTGTCGCTGTATTGTTGCTACAATGTAAATGTATTGTGGCTGTATTGTGGCTGTAATGTAAATGTATTGTGGCTGTATTGTGAATATAATGTAAATGTATTGTGGCTGTATTGTGGCTGTATTGTGAATATAATGTAAATGTATTTTCGCTGTATTTAGAATGTATTGTTGCTGTACTGTGGCTGTATTGATGCTGTATTGTTGCTGTATTGTTGCTGTATTGTTGCTGTATACTGCGGCTGTATTGTGGCTGTATTGTTGCTGTATTGTTGCTGTATTGTGGCTGTATTGTGAATATAATGTAAATGTATTACTGTATTGTGGCAGTATTATGTCTGTATTGCAGGGGCGAAGCGTCTATATAATCAAATAATCACTGCTTCCCTTTCTAATTTTGAAACATTGTCGCTGTCAAATTCATCCTTAAACGTAAACCTCATAAATTAAATGTAAAAAGACGTTCGTAACCAACAACGAACAGTATGCCTAACATTCAAAAC